AGAGGTCCAGAGGCTGATATGAGGCCAATCCCCACCCACCTGTACCCCCTCAGGAAAAGGTATGCCCTCCTCGCACCTACAGCTGCCCTTAAGCAAAAGGCAGGTGATGAACTTTCTGGGAGAACTTGGGCTACAACTGGGGTGGGGAGGGCCCCCCCAGGGCACCCCCTCCCCCGCCTCACTTAGCCTCTGCAGCCCAGCACCTGAAGCCCAGAGCAGCCTGAGGCCTCTCCCCACATGGCAGGAATTTGAGAAGGTGGTTCTACAAAGTCCTCTGAGCTGACCTAGAGGACATGGCCCTCTTCTGAAGGGGTGTCCCTGCCCGGGGGGGCCCTCTTGCTTCCTTCCTCCCCATCAGGCTGGTGGCCGCTAGCTTGGGTCCCAGATCCTGTGTCTAACTGCCCGGGCCACTGTGGGGCTGGGGCCAGATGTGGGCAGCAGCTGCTCCCAGCCCACCACGTGCTAATCCACCCAGAGGGCAGAAGGAGGATCTTGTAAAGTGGTGCAAATCCCCCAAATTGGCCTCATATGTCTCTGTTGGGGCAGCTCGGCTTCGGGGCTGGGGAGGGAAGCAGAGCCTTGCAAGTTAGCGACTCTGCAAATAGCTCCTGGCTCCTGCCAGCGAGGTCTCTGTTGCTTTGTCAAAGCCGAGAGGGCAGACACACTCAGGTCCAGGTCTCCAGGTCCAGGTGTGAGACACTCCCGGCCAGCACCCCCACCCCATCCTCCCACGCCCCAGAGAGCAAGGCTGAGGGCAGCGGGCTGGGGTGGGGGCATCTAAGCTGCCCCTCCCTGCAAATGGTAGCTCCAGCCCCATCTCCACCTGTCTCGTGCTGGAAGCGACCCCACCAGAGTCTATTTCCAGCCCAGGGACCGTGGCTGCACGCTGTAAGAGCCACTGCTTCCGCTGGCTGGCCTGTCCCCTGGGGGGATCCTCTTGGTCCCAGCTCCACCCTCCGCCTCCAGGGGAAACGGCTCACGTCTCCGGTGGGCAAACCAGGAGGGTGGGCTCAGAGCGCCCCACCCCCCTCCACCGCTGACATCCCTGTCCTCCCCTGTCCAGGCTCTTGCACCCTCCTGACTCCCCTGGGAGCGTTCAGCCAGCCTGCAGGTGCTCGGAGGCACAGGGTGAGGGCTCTCCAGCCCCCAGGATGCTGGCCAACCTCCCCCCCTCAGCCTCCGAGCAGTGTCAGGAAGGAGGCTCCTTTCACGGTGAAGCAAACTGAGGCCCCGCTTGGGTGACAGTCAGGCCTCTTTCTCCCCCACCCCCACCCCCACCCTGCGTAACCAGGCAGGTGTGAAACCCCACCCCCCAAGTTCTCTGTATGCAGAATCACCTTGGATTCAGTGGGGGTGACTTGATTATTTGATTATTGTTTATCGTTAACGATGCCTTGAAAGTCCCCATAATGACCTGCCTTATTATTATTATTATTTTTAAATCTACCAGTCTGGCCTGTCCTTGTCTTCAGAGGATAATCTTTGCCCTACATGGATCTTAATGTGCCAAGAGTCTTAGGGAGGTGGAGAGTCAGGCCAGGGGTGGGGGTGGGGGGTGTCGGGGAGAGAATATGATCCCATCACATTCCCCCTGCTTCTCAGGGTGCGTGCCATGGGGTGGGGTCCTTCGGGTGTTTCCACCAAACGCCCAGACATAGCCAGCCCAAGGCCCTCGGGCCAGGCAAAGTCCAGCCCTTTGCTCAACCCCCTCACTGCATCTGTGTTGGCCCGGCCACCTGGACTACTCTGCGCTCCAGGTTCCCGCACATCCGGTCTCTGAGCCTCCTAAGGGCTGGCAGGTGTAGGTGTGAAGCAGGTGTGCCTGGTGCCCCTTTTACAGATGAGGAAGCTGAGACTCAAAAAGGCATGCAATCTCCCCCAATGGGAGTCACTTCCCCGACATTCACAGCCAGGCAGCTGGTCCCAGAGCCCCTGCTGCCTTACAAACATACATACATATCCTGCTGCCTTACAAACCGCCCACGGTGGTCTTCCGGGAGTAAACTCCGACCACCTGGGCCATGTGGTTTCCCTGGGCCCCTTGGTGCCTAGCACCAAGCCTCACCCGCAGGCACGCCCCTGGGCCTTTCAGAAGCCTAAGCTTGCAGCCGCCATGCGGTGGGGAGGTGGAGAGAGCAGTGCTGGGCCAGCCCTGCTGGTGCTTGTGTCCTGGGCCAAGCGGACACCTAGCCCTTTGCTCTGCACTTCCTGGCTCCTCGTCCATATGCCCGCCGCATGCCCCGCTTCCTGCTGCCCAGCCCGGAGCTGGCACATGACTGGCTGCCAGCCAGCTGGGCTGCACACAGAACTGGAATTTCAGCAGCAGGGCCAAGGCTGAGCCGATTGGGCCAGGCCCTCCCGCAGCCTGTGTGAGGCCGAGGGGGCCAGCACACCTCCCCGCCCCCACTCATCTTTCCCATCTGTCACCCTCCTCCTGCCACCCTATTCCTTTTTGGGGGACAGGGGGTGGTGCCTGAATGCTTTTGTTCCCCCTCTTTTCCTTGGCCCAGCCCTCTGCAGGCGCGGGAGCCCCCCCACCCACCTGGGCCTGTGGAGAGACAGACCCCATGCTGGGGAGTGCTTGGGCCTGCCCCTGGGTGGTGGGACCCCCTTGGGGGGGTGGTGTTAAAGCTACAAAAAGCCTGGGTGTTGTATT